CGCGTCCCGAGTGTGGGAGGGATACATTGTCGCGACATTCGAATTGAAATTTCATTAGTTTTACGATGCCTCATGCCCCTGGACAACCTTCGGGCTGGCATCGATGTACAGTACGTTCGTCTGGGGTTTACGACGCGTTCCGTGGAATTCTACGGCGGGAGAACTCTAGTCGGAATGAATTATGGAAAGCGATTTACATTGCTCTTGCTCATATTTTATTGTTGTTAATGTTTTCATTTGGTTTTCTCCTCTGGCGTTTTCTTATTTGGCGAATCCATGAATTATGGATTTGGTTGCACCAAAGGACAAAAAGAGGAGAGAAATTTGCTTCCATTGTTGAAATACTGTGTGTATTCTGGGCTGTCCATGGATTCAAATGGTTCGAATGAACCCTAGATGATTCCAGCAAGAAATGAATGGATTTTCTTGAGGGATTCTAAAGGAAAAAGCACTCGAATTTGTCTTTGATAAATCTATATGAAATCTAGTCCTGCCACTGCCAGAGGGCATCGTTTTATTGAACTACTTTTGACCTCTTCCGTGGAGCCATAAAAAAGCCAGGAATCTCCTTCGCCGCTCGAATGCAATAAAAATGTATCAAAAGCTGAACAGATGGAGAGAGGGGGAGAGAGCATGGGGCAAGTGACATTAGTGTGCTGGAGGAGAGAAGAGACACAGACACAGAGACAGAGACAGTGAGAGAGACAGCGAGAGAGATTGTTATATTCTTAACAATATTCCGGATATTTATGACCTTATGCCCCCGTCCTCGTCACCGTCCCCGTCCCCCTAGTGTCCAACGGGGCAAATGGAGCGTGTCCCGTGCCCCATTTTCCGAATGTTTGAATGCTTGAATGCTGAATGCTGAATGCGTGAAAAATGTTGCGAAAAATTTTAATGCGCTCGCTGCGGGGCGACAAATGGCAGGAATGGAAATGCGGGAAATGGAAATGGAGATGCAGTTGCAGATGCTCGCTGGGAAATGGAAATGGAAAATGGCAATGGAAAATGAACAAAATGGAAAAGATGACAAATGATTATGGAGCATAATAAATTTCAGCGCTGATTGAGCGAAATGCAGAGACTGCAGCTGCAAAATAAAATGCAGGAAAATGTGGCACCAGGCGATAGGTTGGGTTGCCTGCCCCACTGGGGCCGCCATCCGCATCCATTAATGAAGCTAATTTGCAGCACAAATCCTCGCTCGGTAGCTGCCTGAAGCCTCCAATCGTTCCTTCAAATCCAATTTCAAAAGTCGACAAAGCAAACAGACAAGTCGGAGACACAGACGGAGACGGAGACACAAACGGAGATGGAGACAGAGACAGAGAGAAATAGAGATTGAGGGTAAAGTTGATCCTGGTTCAGGGCACTGCTTATGGCCGACACGAGTGTCATCCACTGCTCCTATCATATCTCAATCCAGGAGGGAGGGCAGGGCAGGGCAGGGCATCTTCCTATCATATTTTCAAGCCAAGGGGAGGCTCGCCTCCTGGCAAATGGCTGAGAAATTGCCGAGAAAGCAACTTTATTGTCTCCTGCAGTCGAATCCCCATATCACATGCTTTCCCTCCCCCTCCCCCTCCACGTCCCCCTCTCTCGATGACCGAATCGAGTGTCTCATCTGTGCTCAAGAAGTTGGAATTTGTTTTCTTCGAGTGCTTTTGCCCCAGCCATTGGAAGTATGAGTGCCAGTCGAAGTGGCAGTGCAACTGCAGGTTGAGTCCTTCGTCTTTGCTCTTTTATTTGCCTCTGATTGGGTACAGTGCCCGACAAAAGTTTGTCATTTGTATTGGCTGAGCTCCATTTCCCCCTCTGTGCACTGTGCACTGGGGACTGGGGACTCTCTTTTGTCTACACTTTCCTCATATCGTTTCTGCTTTTGTCTCTTGTTGGTCTCCTTTTGTCTCGCTGTCTGACATCAGAGAAGCAATAAGCTCCGCTGGACATGAGGACTCGATTCGTTTATTGAAAATATTATATGATGTCCAAGGGAGAGAGGGAAACGGGTAGGTTTCGAGTAGAGAATATTCATATATTCTCAGAAGTTTACGCTTAAGGAAATCTATCAAAAGAAGCCTCATATTCCGCTTCCAGAGCCCTCTTCTAGGAATCTTTCCCTTTTTGGGCATTCTACTCTCAGGACTAAGTAGCTCTTAAATTTAAACCTACCATCTCCATGGATGTCTCTTGAACTTCAACCTTTCGTCACCTTTGTTCGCCTCCGTTCGCAAGTGCAACAGTAATTGAGGCCATTTTAATGATAGAAGCCCCATTGCCATTGCATGGCCATTGCATTTTCCAACAGGAAGACGCCACCCGCCCATCGAGCGCACTGTTTCCAACAGGAAAACAGCCATTCAACAGCCACCAAAGTATTTCGAAAAGGAAAAGCTTGCTGGGAAAACCTGCAAGGAAATGTACTGTGTTTTTTTTTTCCGGAAAGGAAAACCCACCCGCTACGAAATGTCACATTTAATATGCATTTTTATGCATTTCTTTCAATTAAATTGCACTTGATTCCCATTTAAAAGGGTGCCCGTGCAAACGGAAATGTGCATCGACACGCGATACGGTGATCAAAGCCCCCCCACTTTCCATACCCCCCCTGTCTATATACTCATGAGAAACCAGACAAGGACTCGCTCACTCGTTCTCGCTCTTTCTCTGGCGTCCCGCGCCCGTGTGTTGGCCTTTAAAGTCGTAATTAGGAGTACAGTGGGAGCCTGCCTCCTTTATTTGAAAAGTGCCTGGTGCTCATTGCGTGGGCGTGGCCCTGCAATTAGAATCCGCCAGCCCCACGCCCCACGCACCACGCCCCGCTCCCCACCCCACCACAATTGTTGGCATGTGCGAAATGCGGAATATAGAGATTCGTTTACCTTTCGCGGAGGCGTAGGAGACGGAGGCGGTTGCAAGTGCGGTTTAGCGTTTAGCTTTTCAGAGATACTAGATGCCACACAGAACACGGAACACACAGTGCCACACACGCAGTGATGCCGGTTGCAATCTGTACAGAGGATATAGGGATTCCGTAACTATTTCAATGTTATCCTGTAGCAACATACCACTGCACTGCACTGTGTGTGTGTGCATGCAAATTCCGCGTACTCATTGGCTCTTTGTGCCCCTTATCGCTGCACACACTCGCCACTCGCCACTCGAATCATTCCCTCTCGCTACACACACTCGTATCTCGTATCTCGTATCTCGCATCTCGCATCTCGTTTCTTTGCCCCGTTTTGTGGTTTAGAGCAAAGCGGAGCAGAGCGCTTTGTTCTCACCTCACACAACATTTCACATTTCGCATTCGCATTGTTCCGTCGCGTATCAGAGCTTTGTATCTTTAACAGAATTGCCAAGCCGCAGAGTGCGGAAAACGCTTGTAATCCGAGACGCGTTCGAGGCGAGGCGAGGCGCGGCGAGGCGGCTGATTAGACCCCGGAGCTGCCTCAAACAACCGCAGAGCCCCACTGAAAGTCCTCGACAATTGAATGGAAATTCGGGATTCGCAATCGCTTAAATATTTATTCAAGAGGAGAGGACGTGAGTGAGTCTTGCATTTGCATTTGGGCGTATTATTTTCTTACAATTTTCCACACAATTAGACGGCGAGCAAAATGCAAATCCTCCACACATGCAGCAGCAGGACCAGGACCAGGACCCCTAAGACTGCCTTAAGCCACACTGCCTGGAGTCGTTGAAGGAGAAGCTGTTGGAGATGGAGATGGAGAAGTGCCTTAATGCCTCTGTAAATTGTGCTTGCAGTTTGGAGTTTGAAAGGCAAAAGATACATTTGTATCTGTGGGGCTTAAGTAGCTCGACAGTTGCCTCTCGCACTCCCTCCGCAAACTCACTTGAGAATGAAAACCTATTTCACTTGCCAGAAACTTGTTACCGAAAGACATGCAGGAAGGCAGGAACGGATGGAACGGAAGGAAGGGAAGGAACGAGAGGAAGGCTGTCTGGCAGTCAGACGTGTGGAAAACTTTTCGCCGAATTTTATATTTATTTGCCCTACTTCTTGGGTGGGATCTTTCGACGTAGAGGAGGGGCTGGATGGATGGGGTGTAGGCGTGTAGGCGTGCCGCCTCCTGTGGAATAGGCATTTTCATCGAGGAGCGGCGAAGGCCTCATCATCATCATACTCGTAAAAAAAAACAGGAAGAGACGGCAAAAGTTTTTCAATTTTTGCAACAACTTTAGCCGGAGACAAGACCATCCAACGGAGTACGTACGCCTCCTGGTCCCGCCTCCTGTGTTGCATGCCTTTTAGAGGATACGATACGACAGGAGAGGATGGTAATAGGGATCCCATCCCCACTGTCCGGGGTAGGTGTAGGAGTTGTGTAAACATTTGTAGTTTACTTTCAGTTGGCAGGGCGGCTCGTAAAATCTGCACGCTTTCGAGGGGGGGACGCATTTCTGGCAACCCTCTCGTAACTCAGACCCAAAACCCCCAGACCCCACCCCCACACCGCCTCCGACACTGACACCGACTGCGACCTGATCTGATCTGACCCCCAGGTCGACATATCCTCCCAACTCTCGCTCCACGAAAGTTTGGGGTTTGTTTTCCCAATTGAATTAGAAAATTATACCAAAAGTTATTTGGGATTAAAGAAGGAAGAAGGTTAGGGCTAGGGATAGCGGAATTAGTTAATGTAGTAGAAAATTACTTGAAGGATAAAGTAGGATTCGGGAATAAACACACAGTTTATACCTTTTTGTCGAAATTAAAAGAAAACTTTGGCAATAACTTTGACAGAACCATTGAAATGAATGCGATTCGATCAGAAAGGGAATGAACGAAACGAGGAACAGAAAGAAGGAATGAAAGAGGAAGGAACAACCAGTCGGAGTGTTGTGTGTCAGGAGTCTCACGTGCCGCGACACCACGATACTCGGTACTCTCTCCCGAAGAGAGCTGGCGCCGGACAGAGAGCGAGAATAGTGGTGGTTCGCTTCATTAGCGTACAGCACTGAGGCGGAACCCACTCTTAACCGGTAAACCGCACTGGGAGAGAAACTATATAAAGATTATAAAGGCTATAAAGATATATATTCTTTTAGAGAGATCATCATAAATATTCCTCACATTCTACTCTTATATATACTCTTTTTCGGTTCATCGGAAACAGAACCAACACGATAATTATCAACACGATTATTATCGACACGATTATTATCCACATGCTTATCATCCACATGATTATTATCGACATGCTTATCATCAACATGCTTAGTATCCACATGCTTGATATGAACATGCTTGACATTAACATGCTTAGCATCCACATGCTTATCCTCAACATGCGTGGCATCAACATGCTTAGCATCCACATGCTTATCCTCAACATGCTTCATATCAACATGCTTAGCATCCACATGCTTAGCATCCACATGCTTGATATCAACATGCTTATCATCAACAAGATCATCATCATTATCATCGACAGCATCAGAAGAGTCTTCGGTCTCCGATACATCACTGTAGTCCCAGTACAGGCTCGGTGGATTGCACAGAATGCAGTGGCTATTCGAGTCGATGAAACACCTTTGGCAATAGACTCCTCTGCAATTGGGCGTCTCACAATAGATATGATCCATTCTGAAAGATCGAGAAGAAGGTCAGAATGATCGGAAAGATCACAGATGGATGGAATAAAAGACTTACGTGGTCAAGGCTTTGGTGCAGATAACGCATGTTTTGCAAATAAAAGACGAAGGACAACCGCTAAGGCACCTGAAAATGATTTCAAACTGCTAGCGAGAGCGATCAGAGATATTCTAGAGATGAAAACCCACCAGATCTTTAGAGAACTAAGCCAAGAGAGATACATAAATTGATTGCCGTCTGAATAGAGATACAAGGAACGAGCTCTGCGTCGGGAATTCTTAAGAAAAGTCACTGGGGATAAGAGATGATAGAAGATCTATGTATACTCGATAGACAGATGGATAGATCTCTGCACTCACTTCTCTCTTCCGTTATGCGATGATGCAAGTGCCTGACTCTTCGATATGCATCGATTGGATAAAAACGGGCCATGACCCAATGTCGCACTCGAAGGCTGTAGGGCTCCCAGATTAGGAGAAGCCAGGCCAGGACACAGAGCACCAATACCTCGTAGTAGCGGAATATATTCGGCTCTCCTGGCACTGGCAGACACTTTTCCGTCCCCACATCCAAGTTCTTGGCATAGGGCTCGAAGGCACGGACCAGGGATCGGAGTATATCTCCGATCAATCCACCCTTGGTGATCACAATTCTCGTGTAGGCAGGAGCTTAAGGGCATAGATATAGGAATGGTCAGTACATCTACGAATATCTTAGCCTAAACTCACGTTTGAGACCCGCCGTTTGGTGTGCGTGATGGGACATCATGGACAGCATTGTATAAAGACAGTAGTCCACGAAACATATCAGAAAAAGCTGCATGCCAGTGATAAACAAGAAGAGTATGGAACGTGTCATTATCTGGAGCTCTTCAGGCAGCAAACGGAGGGAAGTTATCTGCGGGAAAAATACTAACAGATAACCTTTGAATGGAAGCCAAGATGTGGAGCACACCTTCACAAATTTGATGTTTTCGACCGAACGCAGTGGAAGAACCCCGAATGGCTCACTCCTCCTGTCGTAGACGTAGAAGGCGTGCGTTATATACACGTTGTTGAAGTCGTGGTTTCCCAGATACAGCATTCGAAAGTAAATGGATCGCAGGATGACAGTAAACACGAGGATGAAAACCACCAGATCGAGGCACACAAAGAATAGGATAAACGCACGCCTCTGGGCCTCCAAGGTTCTGCCGATCTCGTGCTCGAGTATCACATCGCTGTCCCTTCCCAAGGAGTCATTCGTTCCATTTATCTTTTGCTTGCCTACGAAGGTAATGCTCACCTCAAAAATTTTTCGAATATTGATGAAACTCTGCTTCGAACCTGAGAGAAACGAGTAGGATGAATCATCACTCAAAGGAGGCCAGACCTACGTTGAAAGATCTCTTCAAAGATCTCGTGATGCAGCTGGACATTGCGCTCAAAAAAGCTGGCCATTGGCTTGAGATTCTCGCAGAACCAAACAAAACGATCTTTGACATTGCACTCCTTCCGCTTGGCCCCGAATTTGGTTTGGCAATCGTGGGTGCTGACGGATCCTGCCCCAAGGCAGCGATCATACGGTGTGCCCATCTGCTGCTCAAAGGTGCCCTGCTGTAGGCGCAACCACTCGCCACAGGACTTGAAATTGGCATCTGAAAAGTGATTACATTACATTACCATCGAAAAGCGTTGGAAGCAAGATTCACCTACGAATCTCAGCGATTGGTTCCTCCAGATGCTTCAAGACCTTATCCAGACTCTCCATGATCCTTCGCACCTCCGTGATGGTCCCCTGAACAGAGTGCTCTACGATATTGATGGGCTGCCCCATGATATCCTGCATGGGAGTGAGGGCCTGCCGCAAACGGCTCTGGCCGCAGGAGATACTGTGGCCCATGATGTCGATATTTCGAATGATGTTCATCACGGGTCCAGTGCCTGCCACAAAAAAGGCCAATGCTATGAGAAGAGCTCGTCCTCGATGGCTGCCCAAAGTGGGAAAGATCAATGCCACAACGCATCTGGGAAAGATATTGGAGATCGGGAGTAGCTTTGGGATAACGGATACCGTGGATAAATACCTCGCTGCTCGACTGTATCCAAGGATCATCATCAAAAGGAACAGGAGGACAATGAGCAGCCACTTCTCGGTGAGGTCCAGACTGGCTCGCCGCGGATGCTGATAGTACCAGATAAGCACCAGGAGAATGCCCAGCACATAGCCCGCAATCATATAGAGCGTAATTTTATCCCGACGATCCCAGCCAGAAACCGAAAAGCTGTCCCTTGAGGGATAGTGTTCGGGGACTTGTTCCTCCGACTCCGGATGCAGTTGATAGATGGCAGCCTCTCCGTCGGTGCTAGAAGTCCGTAGATTCCATTTTGTCTCCTGTTTTATGTCTTCATCGTTTTCCGGGTCTTCTCCTTCAACGTGCACTCTCTTTGAGGCCATACGCTCCCGATGCAGTGTCTTTCGAGGCATCGACTTGCTCGAGCCCCTATAGTAACTCCAATACTTCTTTCTCTCACGTGTGTCACGGCCGCGAGTGTCTCGAGTATCATCTTCAGAATTACTCATTATTAAGAGAGATAGAAAGAAATGTATATTTCTATGTGAGAAAAGAGACTTGAAAGTCACAGAAAGCTAAAGCTAAATGGGGAGGGGGGGAAAAAAATGAAGAAAGGTCTTTGGAAAACAGATTTTTTCATACAACGAATTGAGAATCGTCTAAGAAATTCGATTGTTCCAATTTCAAACTTAATTCAATAAATCAATAATTCCTTTAAGTCATCCAAAATGGGACTTGATTGGAATGAGTGTTGTTAACACATTTTTAGCTAGGTGTATTTCTATCTAAATTGAACCTATAGAATATACTTCGCTCACCTACGCCGGAGGGCGCACACTGCACGAGGAAGAGTGTGAGAGAGAGAATGATTAGGCGCGTGGAAAGGGGTAGGCGTAGCCACTGCAATTTCATTTGTTCCATCTGACTATAGTAATAATCGCATCGAATTCAGATTAGGCAATCTGGTAGATATGCTCATTCTCAATGATTCTGCGTTTTGTGTTGTCCAAATTTCCAAATTGCGGATGCCACAGATTTGCGTCTTTTGTGAGACGTGAGAGAGGTGTGATGTCCCTGTGATATCTGGGTACAAAAAGCGGAAAAAAAGAAACCTTTCACAGTTTCCCATACCGGGAATTGAACCCGGGCCTCCCGGGTGAGAGCCGGGTATCCTAACCACTAGACAATATGGGATATGGAAAGTGCTCACGTCAAATGCCTTGATAATTCCAGTGGAATATGGGGATCTGTCAGACATTCAAGCTGTGGGAGGAGGAGACTACAGTCATTAATATATATGTTTATATGTTTCTTCCGTTTCGTTAGTCTAAGAACAGATTTTTGGGTCCTTTTCCGACTCAAAAGTTATTTGATCTGATTAATCTGGATAAACTGGATCAACGAAGCGCAACGAATGTATAGTAATGGCTGTCAACATTCAATTTGCAGAGACCGACCCCCCCATCGCATATTCAGATTTACTATAATGATGGGGTCAACTTTATATAACCTTTTGTCGGAATTCGAAATTAATTAAAAACCATTCAACACTCGGCAACGCATCGGAGCGCAGAGCAATGCAACGCATCATTCGGGCAGCTGCAGGAGGCTCCACGCGGAGGAGTCGGACAGCTGCAGTGGCCTCTCGCCACCGAGAATGAAGGGGGAGCGGGTGGGGGAATGGAGCACCATAATCATCAATTATTCGCACAATTACCGCAAACAAATAAATATTCTTAATTTATTGTGTTTTTCGATTCGAACGAACGGCACTGGCAGTGGCAGTGGCAGCAGCAGCGCCAACAGACGAAAAATCGGCTACGAAAAATAATATTAAAAATAAATTTTCGGCAGCAGACGAGAACTTTGGGGGATACACTCGTACTGCTGTTGTTGTTGTTGTTGTTGTTGTTGTTGATTTGGGGGATACGATATATGTACTTATGAATGTATGTATGTCGGTAAACTGGCCTGAAAATCGTGTGAGGATTGAGTAGATTGATGTTTATAAATTCTGACTGTTGTCTGCTGGCTGCTATCCCCCCTGCCTGTCTGTTCGTCTGTCCGCCTGTCTCTATGTCTGTCTGTTGGTCGTCTGTGAGTGTCATGCAATAAATTTCATAGATGCATTTGGTAATTTCAATTTGTTTTAATGTGTCGCGTTGTCTATTCTATATATCGCGCTCTGGGTCTGATGTTTCGCCCGTGTAGACACATATAATTTGAGGTTTATTGGCCGTGCTGTGGATGGCTCTGGTTGGTGTTTGCTATTTTTGGCCCACGGCCTCGTGGGATGTGTCGCGGCTGATGGTGCTGATGCTGCCCCAAAAGCAATTGTCGCTGCTTATCAGACGGGGGGAGAGGAGCACCGTTTGCGGCACAGCTTTTGAACTTTTCCCCCAAGGGTGGTGGAAATGTATCCATCCTCTGCTGCAGAAGCAGCAGCAGCAGCAGCAGCTTGTTAAACATCCATAAACTTGCGTTTATAGTGAAAGTTTGAGGGAAACTTAAGGGAGGGAAAGTTTATTGGGAGCCTGCAAGAAGAACTTTTCCCTAAAAGAGACCATAAATCAATTTCGCTTTCGATGCCTCGAAATGGGGACAAACATTTCCTGCATTCCTCTGCACAGGAAGCCGTGGGCTTAGTCCCCGTGGCGCCACCATTCGTTTTCAGGGATTACCAAAGAGGATTACCCATCATCCGTCCATCCGTTCCATCATATGTAATTAATAAAGTGTCATACCATGGTGTCTGTATCTGTATCTGTATCTATGCCTTTCCCTAAGCTCTGCTCTTTCTTTCGTGTTTTTTGGGGACTTTATTTCAACATAAAACATACATTTCTGTGGCAATGTCTTCTTTTCTGGTAGGAGGGGAGGGGGGTCACAGTCACATGTACCAGCCATAAAATAATGTTATTTTCTGTTTCTGTTCCGCCTCTAACGATGTTGTCATCAGCCGGCAAAGCTCTCACCTTTCTTTCCACCGGTAATCGTCGTTTAGAGACCGCTTTTTCCCACCTCCTTTCGCTCATTCATTCTTTCTTTTGGATCTCCATGGGTGTCCCCAACGAAATTTGTCGTTTGAATGGTTTCCGCAATGAAGCGACAAAACTGACAGCCCCAGTGCAGCATTTCCACGAAAATTCCACGCTCATAAAGTGACCGCGCGCGCATGGCCATGGAATGGTGTATGGTCTATAGAGTAGGGTCTATGGTCTATGGTCTATGGTCTATGGTGTATGGTGGAAAAATCATCATTGTCGTCGTTGCCTAACCTTTTCACGTTTTTCGGCGGGAACTTCCTCCTCTTTCAGGCAGAGGGGGCAGGCAATGCAACTGGTTTTTCATTTTCGGTTCATTCTCGCCGCAGACTTCATTTCTTTTCATTAGCGGCCCCCCCCCCCCCCCCCATCTGGGGGGCAGGGGCAGGGGCAGGCCAAAGGCCATAAAAATGTAACCATTTACTAGGCTACGCGTAAAATGTTCTCCTCGTAACTCTCGCTCGCTCTCTCCCGTTCCCCGGTAGGGCTTAAAGTATGTGGACTACCTACCAACTTACTTGATTGCTCTTTTACTATGTAATATATGTGTTACTGGCACAGACCGACGGACAGACAGACAGACAGACAGACAGACAGTTGGACGGACATCGGCACTTTATTAATGAAAAGCGCAAAAGTTCTTTCTATTTTTTCCAACTCCTCCCCGCCCTCCCGCCGCTCCCTCGTTTCGGTTTCCCACATCGTGCGTGTGGCCCACATTGGGGTCATGCCACAGATGGAGAGACAGAAAGAGAGAGAGACAGAGATTTGTTAACTGAAAGTGAACGGTGGTAAGGTTTCTGCAATCTGCGCAAATTAAATGCTCTGGACATTGGGCATTACCCCGAGAGAGGGCACGACGGATATGAGGAAAGTTTTGGTCTGTCCCAAAAAAGTTCACTAATTAAAGAGGCTACTCTCGTGTCGAATGGTTTGAGATGTTTGAGATTGTTCTGGATGGGTCCACCAGTCCACCAGAGTATCACGAAAGCATCATCGAGAGTGCGCGAAGCGAGTGCTCAGGGGTCGGGCCCCCTAATAACCAGCTTAAGGCCTGAAACTGAAACTAAGCCCAGTTCAAAGGCTTTGAAATCGATTTCTATACTGCGGAAATGGTAGCCATATGTTAAAGCTTATTTGAAAAGATCACCCCTTGGGGAAAAGATGATGGGTGGAAGTCTCCATGGCAATATGTTGAAGCATATAGGGATTGATTGGATATAGCCTTGGAACAAATATAAGATCAAAGTTTAACTAGTTTTGACCTCTTAGAGGTAGGTCTACTCTAGTGCGAAAGGCTGAAGAGCAATCCTCCTTCTAAGAGAATGAATTTTCTCCTGTGGCACCAGATCCTCTTTTCTCCTATTGTATCCGTACCCTCCATCTACTGTTTGCTTATAGAGATTGCTCCCTCCTCCTTCTCCTTCTCCCTTCCTATTTCCACACAAATTCGAGTTAATTTTCCCGCTTTGTTTACACTGGCAGCATTGGGGCCCTCAGCCGAAGATAAACCCAACATAAAACTGCACAACTCATAAAAAAGAACTCGCCCCCGCACCGAGCCATAGATCGCACGGCCCCCCCGCCGAATGGGGCGGGGTGCCCCTTGAGGGGCGAATGCAATGAAAATTAGAAGCAGAAGAGAACGAAAATCATAACTGAAAATCAAAGAAACAAAAGAAACACACTCGGGAGACACCCACCAGAGGGAGAAGAGATAGATTTGTTGCTTCTCTGGCGACGGGGCTCTGACAAGTCGTTGGCATCGCATCTCTGTGGCGCATGTTAATTATGCTACCTATACACCCGATCCCCATCCCCGGTCGGGAGACAGCTGTCAAGATGTGGGCCGTGGCCAGCGATGGAAAGACCTTGACTCTTGCGCTTGGAAGATCTTTCGGATACGATTTATACAATTTTTTGATTCATGGCGTCTGCCCGCGACACTTTTTGTGGCTATCTTTGGCTCTCGATTCAGAAATTGAATTCATTTCGTAGGCAAAGCATGTTGCCATATATGTCGCCCCCGCCCCCGCCACACCTCCCCACCCCACCCTCTAACCCGTCAATGCCAGAATTTCGAATCGAACTTTGATGAAAAAAAGAGAGAAAAAAATTTAAATTCAATCAGCAATTTGCATAAATTTGTGCAGAGTTGCCAAGAAGCTGCTTAAACGCTTTATATGGTGGGATTAGCCATCAACCCACGACGACGCCGACGACGCCGACGACGACGACGACCCCAGAGAGCCCCAAAGTCCCAAGCGAAACCCAAGCGACGGCGAATCCGTTATGGATGGGGGGGCCGCTGACCCAAAGTGTGGCAGCTAATGGGACAGACAAGTGACAGAATGGCTAAGTGAGTGACT